TGGGGGAGGGAAGCTGGCAAAGGTCTCTCCTTAGACGGTGCATGGGGCTATTTATGTGTCACTGGGTCCCTACCCTCTTTCCCTTTTGGGATCCCCCCTTGGAGGACGGCAAGGGAGGAGCCTGCTTTGGGTTCCATGACTGCAGGAGGCCTCTTCCTGTGTCCTTTGCTCTGGGGGGGGGGCCTCTCTGGGGGTCCCTGCAGTGGAGGGAGGCAGGCGGTGGGCTCTGCACCCCCTTCAGCTCCCAGGGTCCCTCTGGATGCTGCAATGCTCTCCGGTGAGCACCCGCCACCCCCAACCCACAGCCAACGCGCCTCCTAAGAGCATCCATCTCTCCCTCCTAAAAGCCTGTCTCTCCGCCAAAGTGCCGCTGCTTCTGGCTGGGGAATTACAGGGCTGGGCTGGGGCACGCCCCTCCCGGGGAAGGAGATTAGGAGTGTCTGGCAGGGTGGGGCCCTGGTTTACTCACATCCTTGTGAGTGCTCTGCCTGCAGATTTAGGGAGCCCAAGGCCTCCAGTGTTTGTCTCAGCTTTGTCTCCTGAGCGCCCGAGCCAGGTGGCAGGGCGAGGGCTGGGGGGTGAGGGTGTGGGAGGGGGCGGCTCCCTCCATCTGCTTTGATGGCAGGGAGGGTGGGGGGAGAGGGAGGCTCTCGCTTCTTTTTCGGGAGCAGTTGATCCTCAAAAGAGCCTCCAGCGGGGGCTGTTGGGGCCTGTCTGGGGAGATGGGCCGTGTCAGGCAGCCCCAGACACGACCACATTCCTCCCCACATGCCCGCCGGGGTCTGTGGGGCTGAGGGGCTGGCGGGAAGGCGGGTGCAGCCCGAGGAGTGCCTTTGGCGTCGTCTGGGAGATGTGGGAAAGCTGAGGTCCCTTGTGCATGCTCTTAGGGCAGAACAAGATGGAGCCCTGGAATGTCCCGCAACCATCGGGGCCTCAGGAGCCAGGGACCCCAGCCCACTCCCAGGACCTGCACTCCCTCCCTCCTTACCCCCAACATAAACCCTTGGGAGCTTTAAAAGGGGCACCTGAGCCAGCCCTCCCACCAGGGCTGTCCCCGGGGCCTGAGAGCACCCCCCCCCCCTTGGAGCCCAGACTGGGATACAGCCCAGCTCTCCAGCTCTGTGCCTCACTCGGCTAATGAGACCCTCTCACATGCACTGCCGCGTTGGCTTCTGGGAGCTGTCTTCCCAGTATGTGGGGTGGATGGCGTTTGCTTCCATTTGACAGATGAGCAAACTGAGGCCCAAAGAAGTGTGAGATCCTGGGTAGTAAAGGAGCGAATGGCAGGACCCATCGGCTGTGTGCTCTTTCCTGTGTCTGGCTGTGCCTGAGTTGCCCCTGCCTCTGGCCAGACTGAGCAGCTAGAGCTTTGGACTCCCCTCTCCTTTGCCTCCCCCGATCCCCTACCGCAGGCCTGTGGAGGGTCTCCCGGCCTTTGCTCAGGGCTGGGGAGAGCTGCCTGGGTTTCCCTTTCAAGTGGGTGTCAGAGCTGGGGAGAGCTGCCTGGGTTTCTCTTTCAAGTGGGTGTCAGCCAAACCGGTTTGGCTCAGTGGATAGAGTGACGGCCTGCGGACTTGAGAGGTCCCCGGTTTGATTCCGGTCAGGGGCATGTACATTGGTTTCGGGCACGTCCCCAGTGGGGGGTGTGCAGGAGGCAGCTGATGGATGTTTCTCTCTCATGAACGTTTCTAACTCTCTATCTCTCTCTCTTCCTCTCTGTAAAAAATCAATATATTTTAAAATAAAATATATTTTAGAAATAAATAAGTAAATAATAAATAAAGGGGGTGTCCGGGTGGCAGCCTTAGCCATCTGACTCAGGGATGTGACAGGCTCCTTGGCACAGCCCTGCAGGTCAGACCCGGGATGGCCCAGGACTTCCTCGTTTCTTTCTTCAGATGGCCATGCTGAGGCCGCCTCTGGGTCTGTGTGACCTGCCGTGCTGGTGTCCATCGAGGCCAGTGTTGCTTTGCATGGTGGGCTTCCTGGAAGAGGAGTGTCTGAGTCTAGCGTAGTTCATGAGCAACTGACAGGTCACCAGGTTTATGGTGCAGAGGCCCTGCTCCCGCCACCGGACGGAGCCCAGCACGCAGGCTCCCAAGAGCCCCGGCTCCCAGGGCCTGATGGGAAACTGTAGCCTGCAGGCCCACACCTTCTCGTGTGAATCATGCCTGGCGGGACAAGAAACCCAAAGCACCCCAAACAATGAGTTTCCAGTAAAATATGATGGACGTGACAAGGCAGAGGCAAGGAGGGAGCTGGCGGGGTGGGGCCTGGCCTGTGGGTGGTGAAAGCCAAGGGGGATGGAGAATGCCAGGCCCGCCCCCTACCCAGGGCTATAAAGCACCTGCTTCCTTCTCCCACGTACCTGAGCGCCTCTCTCTTCTCTGCCGACTCACTCGCTCACTCGCTCACTCACCTCCCTCCTCGGCACCATGACCACCTGCAGCCGCCAGTTCTCCTCCTCCAGCTCCATGATGGGTGGCGGTAGCTGTGGCTTTGGCGGTGGCTCCAGCCGCATGTCCTCCGTCCTGGCCGGCGGGTCCTGCCGGGCCTCCAACGCCTTCGGGGGCACATCCTCCTCCCGCTTCTCCTCCGGTGGGGGCTACGGGCTGGGAGGCGGCTTCAGCAGCAGCAGCTTTGGTGGAGGTCTGGGCAGTGGCTTCGGAGGAGGATTTGGTGGTGGCCTTGGCGCTGGCTATGGTGGTAGCTATGGTACTGCCTTAGGTGCTGGCATGGGCGGTGGTGATGGACTCCTGGTGGGTAGCGAGAAGGTGACCATGCAGAACCTCAACGACCGCCTGGCCTCCTACCTGGACAAGGTGCGCGCCCTGGAGGAGGCCAACGCCGACCTGGAGGTCAAGATCCGGGACTGGTACCAGAGGCAGCGGCCCAGTGAGGTCAAGGACTACAGCCCCTACTTCAAGACCATCGAGGAGCTCAGGAACAAGGTGGGCGGGCCAGGCAGCTGGGGGTGCCATTCCAGCTCCCTCACTCTAGAGCAATAGATGCCTCAGGCCATGGGCATCTGTAGGTTCCTGGGTCAGGTGCCTCCCTCTGGCCCCAGATGCCCCACAGAGCTGGTCGGTGGGAAGACCGTGAATTCTTACCCTTTATATGACTAAGGAGGAAGCGGTAGTCTGGGTGGTGCTCTGACCTGCCCAAGGGCATAGCGCACATTCACGGCAGAGCCGATGCTAAACGCCGGTGCTCCACCTGTCAGCACAGGAGACAGCTACCTGCTCTCTGGGGCAGGGGAGGAGCGAGGCTGTAACGGGACCCAGTCAGACGCCCAAACTGCTCATTAGCTCATTAGTCTGGGCTGTGGCGGCTGCCACCCATGAGCCCTGGCACCCGCCGGCCCCACCCCATAGCCAGGAGAGCACGGAAATCCACAGAGACCATCAGTGGCAGCTGACCTTACCTGCCCTTTGCAGGAAGGAGCCTGGGGGGCTTGTAGCATCTGACTTTGGGACCCTATTCCGTGCTCCCCCTCCCCCACTCCACTCCAGGATATTATTTCCCTAATATTTCCCTAATCCACGAAACGAGGGAGGGAACGCCAGCCAATCGGGGTTCAACTGATCTTTGTCTTCTGCTTCCTCTTCTCTGATTCTCTGTGCTTTCCCTTGGCCCTTGCTCTGTGAGCTGGGAAAGGAATGCATATGCCTGCAGGGCCTGGCAGGGCTGGCGTTGCAGAGAGAAGTCAGACTGAGAACTGGGTCTCACCTGTAGGAAGGGAACTGGAAGAGAACCAGTTCAGGTTTTGCAACAAGTCGGTGGTAAAACCAGGATCAGAACTCAAGCGCTTTTGACTCGAAGGCCAGGGAACTTTCCACCCCCGCTGCTGGCCATGCGTCAGCAAAGCCCTGGGTCAAAGCTGGCCTCCCAGCGGTCACCCTTCAGGCTGCTGCAGTGGCGAAGGCTTGTGGGAGGTGGTGCGTGAAAGCAAAGGCCAGGTGCTGGCTGCAGTGGAGCCTGGCCGGTGATGTCCATTTGACCAATGCCCTGTGCCCTTTGCCTTGCAGATCCTCACGGCCACCGTGGACAATGCCAATGTCCTCCTGCAGATTGACAACGCCCGCCTGGCCGCAGATGACTTCCGCACCAAGTGAGTGGGCAGGGGTGGCCCGGAATGGCCCGTCTCCCTCGGGTGGGGCATTTTTGGAGCAGGGTTGCCCGAACAGAGCCGATGCGTGCCAGGCTGGCCATGTGGAAACCCGTTAGGGTGCTCATAAAAATGAAGGCTTGCGGGCCCCACCCTTGGCGTTTTGATTCAGTTATTTTAACGGGCTCCCCGAGTGATTCTGACCAGCAGCCAGGTTTGGGAGTCAGTTTTATGGAGAGGCCACTCCCCACTTCCCCACGCGGCCCTGAAGTTTAGGAGGCAGTCACATTTGGAGGCCTTGTGTGCAATCCTTGAGTGAAGCTAGAAGTATCTCCCTTCCCTGAATCCTGGCACCATGATAAGCTGCCCTATTCCCTGTCACCCCACCCCAGGAATGAGCATCTGAGCAACCCATGGGTACTGTGTCCAACCATGCCATTTCCCAGATTGGCACCCTACACTACCCGCAGGGTGCCAACGACGGGAAGAGGCTGCGGGAGGAAGAGAACAAAGCCTTCAGTGTGGTCAGGATAGCTGTCTCACGCCTTCTCTCTCTCGGGTCATCCCAGGTACGAGACGGAGCTGAACCTGCGCATGAGTGTGGAGGCCGACACCAACGGCCTACGCCGGGTGTTGGATGAGCTGACCCTGGCCCGGGCCGACCTGGAGATGCAGATCGAGAGCCTGAAGGAGGAGCTGGCCTACCTGAGGAAGAACCACGAGGAGGTGAGAGCTCAGTGGAAAAGCCAGCTTAGAAGATTAGCGGGGAGGGAAGGGATAGAACTGAGCCGGTGGAGGGCAATGTTCAGGCCATGAGCGCCTCTGGCTGGGGAACACCCCAGTCAGCTGCCAGAATGAGGCTCCCATTGGAGACTGTTCTTTGGTTGTGCAGGAGATGAACTCCATGCGAGGCCAGGTGGGCGGAGACGTCAACGTGGAGATGGACGCCGCCCCGGGTGTGGACCTGAGCCGCATCCTGAACGAGATGCGCGACCAGTACGAGAAGATCGCGGAGAAGAACCGCAAGGACGCCGAGGAATGGTTCTTCAGCAAGGTGGGTGCCGTTTGGGTGCAGGGGACCCAGGATACCGGCCTCCTGGGGACTTCCAGGGTGAATAACGTGCTCTTTTCTGCAGACCGAGGAGCTGAACCGCGAGGTGGCCACCAACAGTGAGCTGGTGCAGAGCAGCAAGAGCGAGATCTCTGAGCTCCGGCGCACCGTGCAGAACCTGGAGATCGAGCTGCAGTCCCAGCTCAGCATGGTAGGGGCGCGGCCAGCCTGGGGCGGGCCAAGGTCTAGGAGGAAGAGATGGACCGACTCCATGATCCTTGATCCTCTTTCCCTCCCTTACAGAAAGCATCCCTGGAGAACAGTCTAGAGGAGACCAAAGGCCGCTACTGCATGCAGCTGGCCCAGATCCAGGAGATGATCGGCAGCGTGGAGGAGCAGCTGGCCCAGCTGCGCTGCGAGATGGAGCAGCAGAACCAGGAGTACAAGATCCTGCTGGACGTGAAGACGCGGCTGGAGCAGGAGATCGCCACCTACCGCCGCCTGCTGGAGGGCGAGGATGCCCAGTGAGTGCCCAGTCCTCCCTCCTGGTCCCTCCTTCATGATTCACTCACTGCACCCCCAGTGTGTTTAACGATCCTGCCCCTTTCTGTCTTCACAGCCTCTCCTCCTCCCAGTTCTCCTCTGGCTCTCATTCGTCCAGAGATGGTAAGACTTTCCTCCTCATCAAGCCTCAGAACCGGCGCTGGTCTCCCAGTAGGCCTAAGGGGCTGGATATGGGCTTCTAGGGGGTGCTGAGCTAGAGTTTTATCACCAAGTATCCCTTATCAACCACTCTCTAAATCCTCCTTAGGGCTAAGAGCTAGTGGGCTTCCACATTTTACTTTTGTGAACCAGCGTCTATGGCAGACAGCATGGTCCTAGGGGTCAGCACCATGGACAGGGCCCTACTGGGCTCTGTCTGTCCTGGGCCAATCTGTGTCTATTTGGGTCCATTTGGACTGAACCAGTCCCGTCTGAGTTCTTAGGAGGCTCCTGTCTGAGGACACAGACTCTACTCCTAACCTTGGAGGCCCTAATCTGAAAAATAAAATGTGCTGGTCATATCAGTGCTAGTTCAGGAGCGGTGAAGGAAGACAGGACAGCAAGGAGGCAGCTCATTTGATTCCTCTCAACTCCTTGGCCTCCCCGCTTCCGATGATTGCTTCATTGCCTCATCACAGCTGCTAACGCCTTCTCTCCCCTGTTCCCCAGTGTCCTCCTCCAGCCGCCAGATCCGCACCAAGGTCGTGGACGTGCACGATGGCAAGGTGGTGTCCACCCACGAGCAGGTCCTTCGCACCAAGAACTGAGGCTGCTCAGCATCGCTCAGGCTTAGGAAGCACATCCCTCCCACCCCCTGCTGTGTGGACACAGATCCCATTGAGGGATCCCCACTCCTGCAACACCACCCCCACCCCCCACCCCCCACACACACACAGGCACTTCACACCTGAGCCCTGCCTCACCCTTGCCCGCTCCTGGCATTCAATAAAGCTTTGTTATCTGAGTTGCACAACTCCCGCCTCTGCCTGGTCATTGTCAGCAGTGGAGGTGGGAGAAAGCGTGGGAAGCTTCTCTCTGGAGCTCGTCCTAGCACCTGGCTGTAGCCTCTGGGACTAGGAGAAAGGGCCCGGGAGAGGGTTGGGCTCAGGTCCCAGCATGGCTTTCACCATCTCCAAAGATACAGATGCAAGTGTGTACCAGGTCATGTGTGGTGTCCTCTAGGGCATGGAGGCACATGCACTCGTTGAGTCACTCGTTCATTCGTCTGTTCATTCATTCTCCAGACACTACTGAGTGTCTTTGGTGTGTCAGGCACTGTGCTAGGGATTGCCATTAGGGACTTATTTGAGACTATATTGAAGCTATAGATCTTCTCTTTCCACGCTCCCCCAAATAAGCATATTTGCATATAATTCATGAAATTCGTGGGTCCCTAAAGCTCTTTAATAAAAGTCTGTGAATTTAATAAGAACCATATGCCTCCCTGAAAACTTTGTTTTTCCCCATCCACCTGCTCTTGCCTCCAGAGCTGGGCCTGAATTCTGACTGCTCTTAGTTGACATAAAACAAATTGGTTATCATCGTCAAGCGTCAGTTTCTACGTATGAAAAGTGAGCATAATGGCAGTGCCTTCCATGTGGGCTTGTGGTGAGAATTTTCGGGAAGAAGGCCTGTGAGGCAACTAACACAGTGCCTGGCACAGTGCAAGCTCAGGGCATCGCTGGGTGAGCAGTGCCAGGTCAGCTGTCTCTTGTGCTTGGTGACTCTCTGTCCATGGTAAGGCCCTTTTTAGAGGCGTTGGGAACAGGCTCACTGGTTTCTAACCCTGGCTCTGTTCTGAGCTCTGTGATCTTGGAGAGCCTCAGTTTCCCGACTTGTCCAGGCAGCATGCACTCTGCTTCTTGGTGTTGCTATGGGAATCGAAGGAGTAAATACACATTAAGAGCCAGGGTTATGGAGGCCTCCCTGGTGGCAGTGTCTTCTCCTCTTTGGGGGAGACTGGAGAAGGTCAGGGTAGGGGAAGACCTGAATGCATAGTGGAGATTCCAGAGGTGGGTAGGGCTCACTGCCCCGAGCTAGGAAAGAGTTGCATGAGGAAGACTTCTAGGGAGAGCCAAGGGTGGCACTGGGGCTAAAGAAAGATGTAGGTAGCCCTGGCCCATGGGTCTCAGTGGTTAGAACACTGTCCCATTCACTGAAGAATCACAGGTTCCATTCCAAGTTCTCCCTGCATTGCAAATTTCATCCCCAGTCAGGGATTATATGGGAAGCAACTAATCGATGTATCTCTCTCACATTGATATCAATCAATCCCCCCCCCTCTTTTTCTCTCTTCCCACCTTATCTTCTGACCAATTTTTCTAAAAATTAATGGAAAAATAGCCGAGACCGGTTTGGCTCAATGGATAGAGCGCCGGCTTGGGGACTGAGGGGTCCCAGGGTCATGTTCCCGGTGGGGGGTGTGCAAGAGGCAGCTGATCGATGGCTCTCTCTCATCGATGTTTCTAACTCTCTATCTCTCTCCCATCCTCTCTGTAAAAATCAATAAAATATATTAAAAAAATAAATATATAGCCGGGACCGGTTTGGCTCAGTGGATAGAGCGTCGGCCTGCGGACTGAAGGGTCCTGGGTTCGATTCCGGTCAAGGGCATGTACGTTGGTTGCGGGCTCATCCCCAGTGGGGGGTGTGCAGGAGGCAGCTGGTCGGTGTTTCTCTCTCATCGACATTTCTAACTCTCTGTCCCTCTCAATTCCTCTCTGTGTAAAAATCAATAAAAATATATTAAAAAAAAAATAAATAAATAAATATATAAAAATTAATGGAAAAATATCCTCGGGTGAGGATTAATTTTGAAAAAGGAAAGAAAGATGTAGTCTTGGAGGGCAAAGTGGCTAAAAGCCCGAGTGTTGGAATCAGACATGTGGGGTTGGAGTCCTGGCTCCTACCCTGACTAGCCTAGAGGAGTTTGGGCAAAATCCTCTTTTGAAAAAATGGGGAATAAAACCCTCAGTATATAAGGCTGATGAAGGATGAGATGATCTCATGCAGGCGACGATTTTAGCATTGTGGTTGGCACATAGTCGGCGCTCTCTAAATGGTAACCCAAGAGGACATGTTATTAGGAAAAGGAATGAAGTGAGATTGGTGACGCCATCTTCACTCCAGGGAAGAGAGGTCTGCTTTGTGTCCTTTAACTCCTGGATATCCTTTCACCTGACTTTTGGCACCAAGAAGGGTTGATCTGGGTGAGGGTGGGCCGCTCCAGAGTGCATGACAAGAGTTTTGGATGTATGGAGGGATAGTCAAGGAGGAGGGCAAGGGATGGTTTTGTGAACCTGGAAATGATAAGACCTTGGAGGAGGGGCTGCATGGTCCATGGGGATTAGCTTTCCCTGTTAGGCATCAGGCTCAAGTGTATGGCATCTGGGGAGTAGTCCACATGTGGACAGAGAGCAAAATGTCAGTTGTCATAGTTGAGGATGAGTTGAGTATGCTCCGCATTGAATAACCATTTCTGGACATCACTCTGCCACGGAGGTGGTGCCAGATTAAAGTTTCCACCTCCAAGGAAGATCTGGTTTAGGAGAATATAGTAACGTGAGATTTCTTAGACTTTGGTGTGGTGGGTTAGCTTTTCCTCCTCCGAATGACTGCCATCACTGTCTGGAGTAGTGATTCTCAACCTTCCTAATGCCACAACCCTTTAATACAGTTCCTCATGTTGTGGTGACCCCCAACTATAAAATTATTTTTGTTGCTACTTCATAACTGTAATTTTGCTACTGTTATGAATTGTAATGTAAATATCTGCATTTTCCGATGGTCTTAGGCCACCTTGCTAGCGGTTCTCAACCTGTGGGTCGTGACCTTCTGATTGCCCTTCTGGTCACCCCACAGATTGACCCTGATCACTGGCCAGGCCTAGGGACTCTACCTGTGCATGATTTTCGTGCACCAGGCCTTTAGTAATTTTATAAACAGCTAATGGTCTGTCTCAAATTCCCTTCTGTTAAGAAAGGGAGATTTTTTTCTGTTACTTAAAACTGAATCCGGACTGAATCAGGATCTTGCTGGTGTTCTGCCTACCTATGGATTATACTACTTTTTCTTTAAGCTCTCCACTACAGTTAAAAGAAACTAGTAAAAAACACAAAACAAAACAACAACAAAAACAAAAAACACCTATTCAATCCCCATTTTATCACTGTGTGCTGTGCCATGGGCTTCTGGAATCTCCTATCTTATTAGTAGCTATAGTTTTACTACCTTCATGTCATTCATTCAACTATTTTTATAGGGTAACTATGTATTAAGTTCCTTCTGTGCCAAACACTATTTAATGAACAAAAAAGACAAAGATTCTTTGCTATATGGAGATTACATTCTTGGTGGGAGGGGTGGGGGTGGGAATCAAGAAATGTATTGAGTAAATAAATTATCATAATATTTTTGAAGTTGGTAAGTGCAAAGAGAAGAAGGGAAGGGTGAGGGGGATTGGAGTTCTGTGATGGGGCTTGGGGGGAGGGGGGAGAATTGCAACATTAATAGGTGAAATAAGTCATCGAGAAGGTGAAATTTCAGCAATTACTTGCCAGAGTGAGGGAGGCAGGTATGTGATGGGTGATGACTCAGGCACAAGGCTTGAGTGAGTAAAACCCGAAGGTGGGAACATAGATGATAGATTCAAAGACAGGTGAGGAGGCCAGTGTTGCTGGAGCAGAGTGAGGGAATGAGGGAATGAGAAGTGGGAGGAGAGGCCAGAGAGGCAAGGGGTGGCTGCATCCCACTGGGCTTTGTGGTCCCTCTAAGGAGTTTGGCTTTTACGCTCAGCGAAATGGGAACCACTGAAAGCACAATGGCAAGCTCAGGGCCCCAGGAAGGCAAAGGCCAGAGGAGCTGGGTGCCAAGTTCACGGCCTGGAGGGGAGGATTCAGGACACCTGCACAACCAGGAGCCACCACACCGGTTTCTACTGGAGCCAGTGCAAGCGTTTATCCCATGAAGCCAGTGAGGTTTTTGAGGTGCCTACAGCAGCTAGCCTTGGCGAATGTAACTAACACACAGGATTTCACACAGAGAAGCAGCACCATCTAAGTTACGTGTTAAAAGGATCTGTCTGTCTACTGTTTGGTTAGAGGCCGAGGGAGCAAGGGTAGAAGCAGAGAGACCAGTCTGGAGGGAGGTAATCCAGGCAGCAGATGATGGCACTCAAAGTGGGGAGGGTCTGAGGTGGTTGATCCCGGACATAACGTAACGGTGGCACTAGCAGGATTCTTGTCCGTGTAAAAAGCAGGAGTCACGATGTCTCCGTGTCTTTTTTTTTTTTTTTTTTTTTTAAGAGGAAGGGTGAGGGAGAGAGATATAGAAACATCAGTGATGAGAGAGAATCATTGATCAGCTGCCTCCTGCATGCACATCCTACCCTGTGGACTGAGCCTGCAACCTGGGCATGTACCCTGACTGGGAATCAAATCATGATCTCCTGGTTCATAGGTTGATGTTCAACTACTGACCCATGCTGGCAGGCACTCTGTGTCCTTTGTCTGAGCAGCTGGATGAGAAAAGTTGTTACCCAATAAGATGGTGAGGCTGTGAGTAGAGGCTGTTGGGGTGAAAGATGAATCCGTTTTGGACATTCTGAATTTACAATGTCTTTAAGGCACAGCTATGGGCTGAGTCATGTCCCCTGAAATCCATATGTGGAGGCCTTAACTCATAGTATCTCAGAATGTGCCCTTTCTTTCTTTCTTTCTTTCTTTCTTTCTTTCTTTCTTTCTTTCTTTCTTTTTTTTTTAGAAAGGGC